AAAATGTCCCAACTTCTACTCTTTCAGTTGGTGAAAGCCGCAGGTCGCTAGCTGTTACCCTTATCGAGTTATTTCAAAAATACTCACGGTCAGTTTTTTTTAACAGATGATAGTCTCAATTAGAGAGGTGCAAGATAAGCTTTTTTTTTTCGTATCATGTACCTTGACTGAGAAAATTTTTCTACTCTGCATATCTCTAGACTTAATAAAACTAAGATAACTTATTTGACATTTTTGAAAATGTAAGAATGTTTTTTTTCTTCTGATTACATTAGTGATTAATCCAGATCAATCTCTTATTCATCCATCTTTTTCATCACCTACATTTGAACATGTTTATTCTGGTTCATTAATACCTCAACATCTCATAAGAGAAAATTCATCTTTTATACTTTCAAATTCTTCTTCATTGGCACCAATTGTAAAAAATTCAACAAGTAATAATTCTATTCGTCCTCCACCTCCACATTATCAATCGCCAACATCAATTATCGAACATTCTCATTCAACATCTAGTCAACAATCAAAAATTAATAATAATAATAATTCATCAGCAGGTTTTGATCGTGAATTTTCTCGTTTACTTTATGGTAAAGATACTGGAAAAATTCGACGTGAAAAACAAAAACGTAAAGCTTTTAGTGATCCTGTTAAGTAAGAAATAATTATAAATTCAAATAAGATTTAAAAAAAAAATATATATATATTATTTTTTCATTAGAAAAAGTATTGAAGAAGCTACAAAAACTCATCGTCGATTAACAACAAATTTAAATAAAACTCGAACAGTTAAAGAAGATGAAGAAGGAGAAAATGATGATGAAATTGAAACTAAAATTGATCAATCAAATATTCATAAATATAAATCTAATTTTCTTTCACGACGACGTTCTAAACGACAATCCAAGTAGATAAAAAATTAAATTAATATGTTTTTTTATTTTTAATTTTTTGGTTATATTTAGTCTCATTGAAAAAAATCTTGAATCAACTAATGAAACTCGTCTACCAACAAATTCATTATTAAAACAACGAATTCCATCATTTTTACGTGTTTATTCTCAAGCATCACCATCAAATGATATTCTTCTTCAATGGGATTTATTTAATTTATCTGAACTTGAATCATTTAATATAATGATGAATAGATTATATAAAAATGAAAATTTAGCTCGTGTACAACTTTATGAAATATATCGAACAGCATTAATTTCAATACTAACATCAAAAAAATCTTTAAATACTAATAATGAAAATGATACTACTACTACGACAGCTTTGTGAATTATATATATATATATATATATTTTTGTTTTATTTTAGTTTTTATGCTAAAATCTTTTTTTTTTTTTGAATATTAAAATTTTATATTAGAATAATTTTAATTTTTAGATAGAAATAATGAATCTTATTAAAAAAATTTTAAATGAAAATTCTCATGTTCATATTCATGATGATAAACGTACTTATGTTGAAGATATAGTTCAATCATTAATTAATGATAGACGAAAAATGTTACATGTTGTTGCAGATTTTGATTTTACATTAACAATTTATGAAAAAAATGGAATTATTTTACCATCAACATTTGGTGTTATTGAATCTAATAATCGTGTTAAAGTAAGAATTAAATTGTATAAATATTTGTTTTATTGAATAATTTTCGTAAAGAAATTTGCAACAAAAATATTGAATGAGAATTAGAATTTTTAATTTAAGATTTTATGAACCAACCCCTTTTTCGAGATCTGTAAATTGAATACGGAGAAACTTTAGTGCGTCAAAATCAATGTTTTCAAATTTCTGTAGTCTCGTTGAAGAGTTTGAAAAATGAATATATATTTTTGTTAAATTACTTTTTGGATAACTTGTTAATCTTTAAGACATAATTTATTTCAATTATAAATTCAAAAGCGATTTTGGATTAGTTGAAAGGTTTATTTGAGATAAATTAATCATTGATTTTTTTCAATTTATCTTCCTCTAAGTATGAAAATCATGATTCAATTATATATGAAACTTTTATTGTCTATTTCAAGATCTTATCATTAAAACAATTATCTTTATAATAGAATTATCAGAAGAATGGAATCGATATAGATTGACATTGTTTAGGAAATAAATTGCATAGTGAAGAACTCAAGATTTAACATTTCCTATTAAACGAGTAACAAATTTGAACATGTTGAATTTCAAGTGTTGACCATTATTACTGTACACCTGAAAAGTTTTCCCCCCCTTTTGTATTTTTTAGTTTTCATCACTAGACCTTTTTAATTTATTAACTTCCTATATATAGAAAGAAAGTCCAGAACGTCCTGCATCTTATGGTATATTTACATTGAACAATAAAATACAGTTTGGAATATAAAAAGTGTATTAGAAAAAGACGTTACATTTTTTTTACTGTACAAATTGATCAAAATCTTAAAATGTATGAAGAGTAAAACTAGTTTTTAGGATAATTTTTGATTGAAACAAAATAGAGATCTACGGTTTTCACCGTTAGAAAGAGGACATAAAGATGCATCGAATTCTATACTTTGCATGTTCTCTGACAAGTTTTGTTAGGGTCTTTAGCGAACTTTTCTTCAAAAATCGACTTTTTCATATTTTTTGAAAAAAAAACTTCATTTTATCTTCTGTAGAAATACTCGATTTTTGAAGAAAAGTTCGCTAAAGACCCTAACAAAACTTGTCAGAGAGCATGCGAAGTATAGAATTCGATGCATCTTTATGTTCTCTTTCTAACGGTGAAAACCGCAGATCTCTATCTCGTTTCAATCGAAAGTTGTCCTAAAAACTAGTTTTATTCTTCATACATTTTAAGATTTTGAACAATTTTTGCAGTATAAAAAAAATGTAACGTCTTTTTCTAATATTCCTATATATAGGAAGTTAATAAATTAAAAAGGTCTAGTGATGAAAACTAAAAAATACAAAAGGGAGGAAAAACTTTTGAGGTGCACAGTAGTATAGATTAATCAATTCAGTATCCAAGATTCATTTATCCGTGGTTTTAAGTATCTTTTGAGACGATATATATGTAGTGAATGAATGATTTAGATAGAAATGGTTGCTTCATTTTTGCATTTATTATAATCTGTTAAACTCGAATTTTGTTATCATTATGTTTAACTAGATTGTAACTGAAATCGTTCGTTAAATCATGACTGTATGAATATGAGCTTTAGTATTTTAATAGAAATCTGAATCTGATTGTTTTACAAGGTAGTTTTTTTTATCAAATGCAGATCAAGATCATTTAATTAGTTAGATATGAAAATTTGTTTTTTTTTGAAAATATTTCTCTAGTTACCCGATGGTTCATTACTTGCTCATAAAGCTGAAAAATTACGATCAAAATATCATCCAATTGAAATGGACGTTCAAATGGATGTGTCAGAAAAAATACCTCATATGATTGAATGGTGGCGTACAGCACAAAAATTATTTGTTGTCTCAAATCTAGATAAATCTTTAATACGTAAACTTGTGGAAGAATCTACTATGGAATTAAGAAAAGGTGTTCATGAATTTATAATTGATTTATTACATAGTGAAACTCCTATTCTAATATTTTCAGCTGGTTTAGGTAAAAATTAATGTTTTTTTTTTATTTACATTAATTTATTCTTTTATATATAATTTAAGGTGATGTTATAGAATTTTTTCTTGAAAAAGAAATTCCTGATTTTAAACATAATCATGCATCATCACATATTGTTTCAAATTTTATTAATTATGATAATACTGGAAAATTATTATCATTTAATGATAGATTAATACATACATTTAATAAAAATGAACATGAAATATCTGATACACCATATTATCAAACAATACTTACACGTCCAAATGTTATTCTTCTAGGTGATTCACTTGGTGATGTTGGAATGATTGGTGGAATGAAAAATTTAAAACAAATACTTAAAATTGGTTATTTAAATCATAGTACACCAAAAAAATTAGAAGTTTATAAAAATGTTTATGATATTGTTATCTGTGATGATCAAACATTTGATGTTCCTAATGCTATATTAAAAGCTATTCAGGAATAATCCTTTTTTCTTCTCATAATGAATCTCTTCTGTTTTATTGATTGCAAAGTCTCTTTTTTTTTTATATAGACAGTTTAACGAAAAAGTTTCCTTTGTTTTTTTTTTTCAGATAAATGGCTCAGAAAAAAATTAAGAAAGAAGTTTATATAGATGAAGATGAAGAAATAATTATTGTTAAAAAAAAACCAAAACCATCACTTTTGAAAAAAATGTAATATAAAAGAAATCATTTTGTTTGTTTGTTTTTTTTTTTATTATATGAATTATTTTATTGATTGTTTTTAGTTTAGTACGAACTTTTTTTGGTTTGACTTTTATCATTGCTTCATTAATTATATTAGCACCATTTTTATTTCGATTACATGGTGATTTTATTTTAACTAAAATGTTATTTCAAACTTGGTGTAAATAATTTTTCTTCGTTTTTTTTAAATTTTAAATTTTATTTTCATTAGCTCGTTATTATCCATGGATTGATTTGACTAAACTCGATTCATTTAGTTTGAATGGAATTAATGTTTATGAACAAACAGAACTTAATGTTAAAATTGGAATTTGGTAAGTTAAAATTCTATCGATATAGGAGGATCTCGGCCTCCACCATTGTTTACGCTGCATATGCGTAAGTTTTAAGCTGCTGTTAGAAAATTGTCTGTCAAAATTTTAGGCATTTCCACTACTTCTAAAAACTATTCGAATAGAGAAAATGATTTTCAACAAGAATATAAGGAAACAAAAAATAACTATCGAGTTTGTAAAGATAGAGACTTCAGAAAATCAAAATCCGAGTTTTTCAACATCTAGAGCGCGTAAATGTAATTTTGTTTTAGACTTTAAAGAACGATAGAGTAAATCATCCTCTACAAAAAGTAAGACATCGTCGAGTTCTCTGCGATGTTTTTGGGTTGGGATACAGGCCAAAAAATGGTTTTTCTATAGGAAATTGGAAAAAATCATCTCAATTTGCTCGGAAACATCTTATTTTATAGAGAATTATTCGCTCTATTGTTCTATTCAGTCTAAACAAAATTACATGTACTCATTTTAGATGCTGAAAAACTACTCTTTTGGTGTTCTGAAGTCTCTATCTTTGAGAACTTGATAATAATTTTTATTTCCTTATTTTTCTTTTAGAAACAATTTTTTCTATTTGAATTCTTTCTAGCGCATATAGCAGTGTAAAAAAAGAAGTTGAAAATAAACCTGGTCGAATAATTTTAGTTATGTCAAACCTTGAATGTTGAATTCAATAATTGAATATCTAAAGTTCAATATTTCCAGTAATTCATTGAAATATACACAAAGCTATTGTATACTAGTGCTCTTTATTTATGTTGAAATATTTGTAGAATTATAGGAAACTAGATTCTAAGACTTAATTTACAATCGGCATAGTTCATAGCAATTATAGTCTATTGGTCTCAAATTTAGGTTCAGGAATGATTCGTTTAATTACAAATTTTTTTTTATTTAACTACCATGCTTGGATATTTGCCAGGAGAATACAATAGACTATATAATGGTATAATAATACTAACAGATTATGAAAGTGAATTTATAAAAAGATTGAAAGAAAATCGTGTGACATAAGTTTTTGAAATTTATATATTTCACATAGATGACAACGAATTTATACAGAAAAATAACATCTTTAATGTCTATCAAGCACTCTAATCATCAAATCCAGAAGTACTGTTCCCAATATTTATATTTAATGAAAATGATTCAATGTTATCGACTTCTCTGCAATTCTTTGCATTTTTAATATGCTGTATAAGTTTTTTTTAAACAAAAGATCATCATTAATAAACTGTTCCAGTATCTATAAGTAAGTATACTTTTGTTCTTTTTGCACGATAGTTATTATATTCAACATCAACGCTAGTGAACATTCAATTTGTAAATCAATCTTTAGTTCTATGATAATTGTGCGAATAAGAATAATTAATTAAATCGCTAAATGACAAACGATATCTATAATGCATAAATATTCAAATAATAAAAAATATAAGAAATACGTCACAGTGATATTTAAAACAAAAAGAATTCAGATAAGACAAATGTTACGTATGCATAAAATGATTCATTAGTTCTATTTGTTAATAACTGTCATCTTTTAAAATAGGATTAATTATAGTAACTCTTGACCTTGATATGATTATAATCATAATATATAATATTTTTTGTATTGCATAAAAAGCCAAAAATATCAAAATTTGAGAGCAAATCAGATAGATGATCTAAATAATATTTCTATCGTTGTCGTTCATAATCATCCTAGTTAATTCATCTTCGAATACATTGCCAACATTCCATCAATTGGTTATAAGTCGATATATTTGACGTGTTTTTTTTTTACATAAAACAACTCTCCCGCTGATGATACAATATGGGATAACATCGAAAAAAAAGTCTTGAATAATTGAGTTTTACTTTTTGATTTAACATTACAGTAAACATCGCGATTGATCTTCTCTCTTCATACTAAAGTAAAACTTCTTTAATATTAAACGCTATCAAAAGTATTCACTGAATGTCGATGCTCATTATAGAGATATTTTATCATATATATCTATTTAATTCATAACTCTTCTATGGAATTAATTTAAATAACTTGTAAATTTGTTCTTTAGGTATGTATTACCATCAACAATTGAAATTAATCCTAGTTTACCAACACTTGCTGATCATTTAAAAGAATATGTAAAATCTACTGATCAACCTATAATTATGTATTTACATGGACAAGATGGAACAAGGTAAATAATAATAATAATAAGAAAAAAAAAATTATATAAAATAAATTTTTAGAGCAACAAATTATCGAGCAAATCATTATCGTGTAATGACTAATTTTGGTAATCATATAATTGCACTTGATTATCGTGGTTATGGTGATTCAACTGGTATACCAAGTATAGATGGTGTTGTTTATGATGTATTACATGTATTTAAAATAATTCGACAAGTTTGTCCAGATAATCCAATAACAATATGGGGACATTCAATGGGTACAGGTGTTGCATCATGGACAATGAATTATTTATTTAATAATCATACTGGTATATAGATTAAAATTTTATATGAAAATTATGTATTATTCTTTTTTTGTGAATATTATAGATTTTAAAAAACCATCAGGTCTTGTACTTGAAGCACCATTTTATAATACAATGCAAGCATTTGTTTCATATCCAATTACACGAGTATGTTAATTTTTATTTATTTTATTAGAAATTATATTAATTTATAGATATTACGAATTAATCCATATTTTATGCAAGCAGCACTTGATTCTTTGATAAAAGTACAACTTGATTTTCCAAATAATGAAATGTAAAAAAAACAAAAAAAATTTTAAATTTTAAACATTAAAAAAAAAAAAAATCTTATTTGAATTTATTTTAGTATATCATTTCTTCCATTACCAATTGTTTTAATACATGCTGAAGATGATGTTATTATTCCTTATTTTCATTTAGAATTAGTAAATTAAATTATAATCTAGAAGATATATTTTTATTTCATTATTGATTTTAGATGCAAGATTATGTAAAAAAACATCGTGATGATAATTTACCTCCAGTACGTTTTATTACAGTACCACGTTCAGCAGGTTGTGGTCATAATCATATATATTCATATCCAAAATTTGCAGAAATTCTTAGGTAAATTTAATGAATTCTTTGTTTGTTTGTTTTTCAATTGACTTACTGTTTTTTTTTTTTTTCTAGTGATTTTGCATTCCTCAAACATGCACCTCCAGCATAAATGAAATTCTTTCATGATGAATATTTTTTTAATAATTTCTTTTTTTTTTTTTGCATATGATATATCAGTTGTTTAAAACATCTATTTTCTTTTTATGTGATTTTCATAGAAATAAATGAAGTTTTTTTTTTGCAGATAGAAATAAATTCTTTTATTTTTTAAAATAAATAAATGAATAAAAATAAAAATTTTTTTTGTTGTAAAAAGAAGCAACTGTTGACGTGTTAGTTCAATAAGGATTAAAATAGCAAGTATATTCATGAATTTCTATATTTTTATATCAATTACTATTCCAATTATTTTTCTTATCTATCTAACTATTGTTAAACAATATTGTCTTTATGAATTTGAATAAGTTAATATTTTATATTTATCAATGTTAACTTTATACATAGTATTGTTTAAAAAAATAAGACAAACATATATTTGATTTTTTTTTTTATTACGATAACAAGCATTTAACTCGAATTCAAATAGTGATTTGAATCAGAGACCGAAATGAGTCAAAGGAATTCAATTCGACTCGAGCCGTCGAGTGTCGATTCAAAATCGAATGTTCAGAAGTACATTCTTAATATGAAGAATGAGAAGAAATTCAGTCACATGTTTTACTTGTATCATAGTGTTGATACACCCACATTGGACCATACAGAAGGAAAACGATCAGTTCCAGAAAATTTTGCCGATTTCTTAGAAGCAGCATTTTAAATTTGTAAAACTTAGATTTTTTCTAGGTCTTCCCCCAGTGCAATTTTGGTTTTGTAGCGTAAAGCAATAGAAAGTCATCCCAAAGATCCGTAGTTTTCTCGATTCGATGTATTGCATAGATTTTCGAAGCTTCTCTTCAAGTTTTGTACTCGATTTCTTCTTATGATTGCTTCAAGATTATTCGAAACGATTCTGTTAGATAGAATAAGTAACAGATTTCATTAATTCGAACATTCTAAATGTAGTCAAGTGTATGATCATTTTAATAATATCACTCTTGTCGCATGACCTTTTTTTTTGCGATAACTAATAAAACAATGCAATACACTATTAAATATTTATTTAGCGTCGTCTGTCTATGCATCTTAATGTTTTGTTCAACCTATGCATTGGAATGCATTGGCATTGTCTCATCTCTATTCATCTAACAATGACGATGACTGATACTGAGGAACAAATGAAAGAATCATGAAAAAAATTTTTAAAAGTCGAGTCCTTCTAGTCCAACTCGACTCGTTTTCGGTCTCTGATATGAATAATCTTTCATTTGATACGTCTGATCATTTATTAAATATTAATTATCCATGTATATTATATTTGTATAAAATGAATACTTTCTAGGTTATGTTAATTATGAATTTTCCTTTTTGTTTTTGTTTGCATAAAACAAATATGTTCCTGTTTATTATTATTTTTTTTGCTTGATTTTTAAACAGATTTAGAAAGTTATAGAATATTTATCAACATTTAACAAAAAAGAAAAGTTTGTCATCGAAATTATTTCGTTATTATTTTCTTTTTTTTAATTTTTGGTTACATCTCAACTATAGGTTAGTATTTAGTAAGAGAAAAGTATATTTTATAACAAAATAAAGTTTCTTGATAAGACAGAAACTATTAATAATATTATTTGTGAGTAAAGCAAACGAATAGAAGATAAAGTACACCTGTATTTAGAGTATATATATATATATATACACAATTTATTTGTTAATATCAACAATAATATGAAATTACATCCAATATTTTTTGAACCTGAAGTTCATTCAACTATTTTTCTAATTATTAATTTAATTGGTTCGATTATTGTTCGTCTTATTATTCATTCATGGCCATTAACAATATTTTGGTCATGTTTTTATATTATTATTGTCTTTTTAATTAATCATAGTTTAGCTTCTGGTCGTTATTATTTGCCAACTAAGAATATTCATGATAAAACTGTTATTGTTACTGGTGCAGCAACAGGTATTGGTCGTATTTGTGCAATTCGATTTGCAAAACTTGGTGCACGTGTTATTATTGGTGTTCGAGGTCAAGAACGTGCAGAACGAATAGCAAAAGAATTATGTAAAGAATCAGATGGTGGAACAGTTATTGGATATGATCTTGATTTATCAAGTTTAGCAAATGTAAAAAAATTTGCCGAAAAAATTGAATGTGTTGATATCTTATTAAATAATGCTGGTGGTATACAAAATACATATTCAGTAACAGTTGATGGAATTGAAAAACAATTTGGTACAAATCATAGTTAGTAGAAATATGTCTATATATATATTTTTTTTTGAATAGAAATATTCAAATTTTTGTTTTTGCTTTTTTTCAGTTGGTCATTTTTATTTGACTCAACTTTTATTATCTTTACTTACTAATGGTCGTGTTATTAATGTTAGTAGTATAGTTCATCATATAGTTCCATCAAGAGGCATTGATTATACATTTTCAAAATTAAAAAACAAATATAATTCGGCAGAAGCATATGCAATATCAAAATTAGCACAAATCTATCATGCTCTTGAATTAACACGTCGTTATGGTATCAAAGCTTATTCATTACATCCTGGTACAATTATGAATACAAATCTTAATCAATTTAGACCTTTAATAGAACGAATTATTATTACATTATTTTCTGTAATTGGTAGAACAGTAGAACAAGGTTCTATGACATCTCTTTATTGTGCATTATCTGATGATGCTAAACCTGGTCATTATCATTCAAATTGTCAAGTAAGAAAACCAAGTCAATTAGCATTAGATAATTATCGAGCTGAAGAATGTTGGAATGAAAGTGAAAAATTAATTAATAAAAAAATTAAATGATATTATACATAATCGAATTTTTCTTCTAAAATTATTGAAATTCTCCCTCAGTTTGAAACGAAATAAATAAATGTAGAGATTTTGAATAAAATATTTTTTTTACTTCTAAACATAAAGTTGTATCATTTGATAATAGTAATTTTTTTTTTGATGTGCGATTTCATTCTTAAGATTGAGAAATGTAAAAAAGCCAACTGCAAACGATATAAGTACGATTTCAGTACTTCGAAATACTGAAGTCATGCTTTTTTCCTCTTGAACGGCATACACTGTCTTAATGAACGAAAGATATTTCGAGTATGAAGGTAATCTAATATACAATAAATGAATTTAATCGATAAGTAACTATAGTCATCATTATAACAAAACAAAATCTATCTTCTAACTAACTTTACTGTTTACTTTTTTTATGTGATGACAAAAATAATAAAATAAGTTTTATTAGTTGTAATATAGAAGAATTTGACATTTGCCAAAGACAAGAGTTATAAACCTATTCGAACAATAAAATAAAATATACAGTGAATAGATTTGTGGCAACTCTATATGGTCTAACTTAGCTGATACCGGTCATCCAGTTCTTTTCATATGAACTGAGATTTCTGAAAAACATGATTTTTATCATTTGCAATATATTTTATGACTGTTCTATTTCAGTTCACTTGTGTAACTCAGTTAAGATGGCATAAAACAGAGTTTTCTAAAAATTAATTTCTCGATTTCAACGAAAAATAAAGAAGCTTTTACTCTGAAAAGAGAAATGTGAATATTATACGAATCTTTATTAAATGTAAATATATTCCTTCTTTGAATTTGAATCACACATTATTCTTCCGATTTAATTTACTAAAGAAATTAAGATGGAACTTTTTCGAAATACAATAGAAACTAAACTTATACATCAGTATAGTCGTCACAATGTATACTTGGTACAGATGTATTGAGACGGAATTTTTTTAATGCTAGATATCAATCAATATAAGAAAGAGAGTTGTTGGACATTATTTCTCTAAAACCTTCTTATAAGTGAGTCGATATTTTTGGACACTAACATAAACGAAAATAATGAATCATCTGAAGTCTCATCGAAATGGTTGTTCGTAGTGATAATGAACAAGGATCAGACAGTAGAGAATTATCATTTTCTTATGGTTTTACTTTTAATTCAACGTCAAACAGTTTCATAATTGTCAATTATGGTGTTTACAATGTTGTTTGTTTGTTTGTTTGGTGTGGAAGTGCTAGTAAAATAAGTGGTAGTTCATTAATACAATTGAATCAATCGTTGAGTTTAGAATTGAATCCTATAGAGAACGTGTATGTAGTGGATACAGCGAATCATCGTATTTAGTTATTTCTATTTGGCCAGTCGACTGGCACAATTATGGTTGGTACGACAAGTTTATTAAACTTTTCGTATTGAGAAATATTGAATAATCAAGTTAACCTGCACGCAGCAGACTATTTGTCTTGTAGACATTTTTTTATTCACATTTGATCAATGTGAAAGTCGAAAATAAAAAAAAACAGATTAAAATATATTGAATATAAGATAAAAATTTTATCCAAAGATAATATGATTTCATGAGACACAGAAGAACGAATATCTTTCTGTTGTTAAAACATCATTATGTATGAATAGATAAAGTAAACACTGTGTATCAAGATTCATTTTACTATCAATTCTTTTTCATTGAATATATTTAACAGTAAATTTTGTATCCAAAAGACTCCTTGATCATTTCTTATTGTGAAATATCTTTTGATTTTTCCCTTTAGTGAAAAGTAATAAGCAAAATTTCGAGTTACGTATCAGATATTAATTTTATTTTAAAAACTTTCCGGATAAAAATCTCATTGTATAATTTTTTTGAACTCTAAATACTTCTTCGTTGGTTTCTTTTTTGTTAATCAAATTCATATTGTATTCGTTCATTTATGACAACTATCAATATTTGTTGTTGTTATGCATTTATATTATCATCATTGTCGTCTAGCTTATAGTTGTTCGTACATATTAAGAAAAGATCTACGTAATAAAACAGTTGTTTTCACTAGTACAGGAACAGATATTAATCATATTAATGGTTTTCCATTTGCAAAATTCAGTGCTCATGTTATTATTAGTATATTTGTACATTATCCAATGATGCTAAATTTCATTATTTTCATGTTTATTGTCATATGAGAAAATCAAATCAGTATTAGATAGTTGTCAAATTGAAGAATAATGCAATGAAAATGAAATACTAATTAATTGTAGAATTAAATAATTTCATATAATTTCTAACTTTTATTTTCTAAATTTACGAAAGTTTGTTCTCAATCTTAACATAAAGAAAAAAGATACTCTAAAATATAACATGACAGATCATTAACAAACAAAAAAACTATGAAAAAGATAAAAGGTTATACACAGTTATTAGCATGTCTATATGAAAAAGAAAAAAAAACAAATTGGAAACTAAATCACAATAAGCTAATCTTGATGAATATTAAAAAGTTTTGCAAGTTCTTGAAAATCAGTAATCTCTTTTTGATCTTGAATAATCTGTAAAAAAACAAGAAAACGATATTTTTAGATATTAATCTAATAGATTTATTTTTACTTTTCGTGCAATTGGAATTCGATTAAATATATTCCAAAGAACAATACCAACAACTTTGTTTTCTTTTAAATAAAATACAACACCTTTAGTATAATCATCTTTATTATTTGTTTTTGTTGTGGTTGTTGTTGTTTTTTCAGGTATTTTATGTTTTAATGCATTAGCACTTGATGTTGGTGGTATATCTCGTTGTTCTCGATTTCCTTCACTATCTTCTTTTTGTATTTCATCACCTCGTTGACCTTTAGCATAAACAGCAATAGTTTGTAATTCTGAATCAGTTAAACCAATAGCTTCAAAACCAATACTTGGTCCCAAATCTGACCAAAACATTGATTGATGCCAATAAGGATTATGAGCACCTGTCATATTTTCTCCAGCTAATTTACCACTAACAATTGCATGATCATAATGTTCAACACGACGTCGACCTAATTTAATATCATAAAATGATGCTGCATCACCAGCAACCCATATATTATGACGTGCTTGTAATTCAGCATTAACAAGAAAACCACCTTGATTAGGATCAATTTCTAAACCAGCGAATTTTGCTAAATCTGTATTTGGTTCAATACCAACAGCAACTACAACATGATCAGCAGTAATATAACTTGTTTTTTTTGGTTCTTTTGGATCAATATAAGATAGATTAACTTTTCCTTCTTGGACTGATGTACCAACAAGTTCAACATTTGTTAGTACTTCTGCACCTTCTATTCAAATTAAAAACTAAATCATATAAATATTATAAATTAATCAAGAATAATACCTTCACGAACACGATCTGATGTCCATTTACTTAAATATTCTGGTAATACTTTGCTAATACTACCTAATACAAAAAAAAAAGAATTAAGATATATAAATTTCATGTTTTCTTTTATCAGATTTGTTAATCGATTTTCAGATTAGTAAATAATATTTATTAATAGTTAATAATATCAATGGATAAATATAGATATTGAAATGTATTTTAATGTGATTTCCTTTTATTTTTCTTCTTTTCTTTGTTTCCTTCCCTAATAAATGTACTAAGTTCAGAGTATCTTACCATCAGTATGTCACAGCAACCTTTGGGTACTTTATAAGTTTTTAGTACATGACTACAACATGTTTCTAAATGTTCAATCTACTAACTTGTTGAAAAATTTGTCATCAAATGCCATAAAAATAGTGTACTGGGTGAATCACGAATCATGCTCACGCGTGAGCGTGATCGTGATGGAGACTAACATCTCGTGATTCACGACTATAGCAAAGGGTGCGGCGGAATAAATGGGCGATTAGTATTTTATTGTTATTTCGATAAGTTTTAATTGTTGAGATCTTATTATTTTTCCAAAAAATTTCCCGTAGAATTCTGCACAACGTGGTATAACCTAATTAACTAATAGATTTTTCTGTCTTTCTAGAGCACAACTGTTTTCAACAAGCAGACTTGAACGATTTTCTAAATCTGGATATTTTTCAGAGAAAGTTTTTCATTCTTTAATTATTGAAAATTGCTTTTTCGCATGCTTACAACTCGTTTTGGTGATTAATCCATTGAAAGTAGTAACTGGTAACACACTACTTGCATTAATAATCATCAAACATGACATAAAGCAAGCCGCAAAGACTGAAGAATGAAAACACTTTCTCTAAAAAACATCAGATTTAGAAAATTGTTCAAAACTTGTTGTTGAAAACAGTTGTACTCTAGAAAGAAAGAAAAATCTATTAGTTAATTAGGTTATACTACATTGTGCAGAATTCTACGACGAATCTTTTGAAAAAATAATAAGATCTGAACAATTAGGAGTTATTGAAATATCAATAAAATACTAATCGTCCATTTATTCTGCTGCACTCGTTATAGCGGCGATGAGCTTTTCCGTCACTAATTTTTTCATCTTTGTTTATAGGATAATAAAGCGAAAAATGAATGCATGGTTGAACCAGCACCATGTAGAGGACGCTCACGAGTCGAAACTATTAGTCTCTGAGATGGATACTATGTTAACATGATGAGAATTTTTTTGCCTAAAAACATTGCGAATAGTCGTGATCGTGATCGTGAATTTGATCTGAGAAAACACGTGATCGTGAATTTGAGCTGAGAAAATTCGTGATCGTGATCAAAAATATCAATCACGCAGTACACTACATAGAAACTAGGGAGATACCTGGTATGTACCCATATACTGAGATAATTCTACACAAAGTACCCCACCAAGATTTTGTGATATACTGATAATAGGGTATGTGAAAAAATATCCTACTGACAGCTGATCCAGTACATTTACTAGAATTATACCATGTAGTACAGATGTCATGTGCGACATACATGTAGATACTATGTTTCTATCTTTTTCTCCGACTTCAGCTTAGAGTCCATGAATACAAAAAAAGATGGATGTGATACAATTCGTTCATTACGACAGCGATATGTCAGATGAAGTAGCTATGGAAGAAAGTGATGAAACAAAAGACCTTGCCAAAAAATGAAATCAAAATATTGGTTTAACAAAGCTATATTTGATAGGTCAAAACATTATACGAACTATACAGAAAATGAGAGAACAGCTTATTACAAATACAACAAAGTCAAGCATCGTAGACCTTTATGTAGAGCAAGTATTTATCTGTTACATCGTGTGCACAGTAAAAAAAAATTATTGTTTATAAAATTGAAGCTGAGCGTGATGATCATAAGGATGTGTGAATGTAAATGATATAAAAACATATTTGAATTCACACTCACATCCACGCTCTATTTTATACAGATAAACGAAAACCTCCATTGATAAAATCTATATTTTTCACTGAACCAATCTGTATTTTTTACTGATCATTTTATCAATTTTACTTGATCACTTAAATCACAACCGTTTCTTTGTTTTTTTTACCTGCTTCGGGCATTAATTGAGTAATTTTTCCACTTGGTTTACCATTTTTACCATTGTCTTTTGATCGATATGCTAAAGAACATGCTAATTCACTACCAAGAAAACCTCCACCAACAATTGCTACATCAGCACCATCATCCACAAGTTTTTTTAATGCAAAAAAGTCGTCAATCTGTGTAAAATAAAAACAAAAAAATATCACTATATATATGTTTTTTTTTGCCTAGCAATATAAGTATATAAAAAAAAAAAGGGAGAGAAAAAAAAAACAAAAAATAACCGAATTAATCAGAAGTATTTAATAAATAAAGATGAAATTCATAAGGATATGTTTTTAAATAAAATCGACCTTCATTCGGTAAAGAATATTTAACAACATTATCGTTATTTATTCGAATTTTAACTTTATTTAATTCAAGTAATATATTAAATATTTCTTGTTGTGGTTGTTGAATTAATTCAAAAAGTTTTTCTCTTAATTCATGATAAGTTAATGTATGTAAATAAATAGTTGAATATATATCATTATTTGTTAATGTAATATAAAGAATTTTCAATGGTTGAACAATAGTTTCATTCAATTGATTATAAAGACGAATACTTATCGCATCATCACCATTACATATTTGACGAATATCATTTTTAGATAATCGAAGAATATCAATACCTTTATAATGTTGAAAACGATTTACAATAGATGAATAATTATTATTATTTAACCAATTTAATACTTCTTCATTTGATGATTGTATAGTAATTTTTGTTTCTATTGTTGATTGTAAATTATGAAATTCTGTAGAATTACAATTCATATTTGACGAAGATAATGATAAAACTGATGATAAATCTCCATTACTATTATTTCTATTAAGTTCTTGATCATTATTTTCTAAATTATCACATTCTTTCTCTTCTGTTAATAAATTTTCTTCAATACTTGGTGTTGCACAAACATTAAATAAATCATCAGGTGGATATGAAAGACTAAGAAGATCAAGTGTATAAAGTGATGAAGTTGAACATTGTTGTAAAATTGTATATTCAAGTGTTGTTTGATATTGTCGACGTTGATCATGATTTAATTTTTCAATTCTCATTTTATCTGCTTTATTTTTTCTTTGTGCACCTTTTAAACGAAATAATTGAACTTTACAACAACATGAATATACATGTTTTGTATCATCAACATCATTTTCATATGTATCAATTTGTATACGTAATGGTATACCTTTTTCTCCACCATGTCGTTTTTGTGCAAAATCAGTTGATGTACATTTAAAACGTATTAATAATGATGTTGTTGTTGATGTATCCCACACTATTTCAATAGCATTTGGTATTTGTTTTGAACGTATTATTGATAAAACTCCATATGTTAAATTCGTATCAATATCAAATAATGATGATGAATGATATTCATTTAACCATTTTTGCATTAATTCATGTTCTTGAGTTTGTAATATTTTATCCCAGAAACATAAACGTAATATTGAACGATAAGTTGTTGGACATGGATCATCCATAGATGTTCTTTTAAGATTTTCTGTTTGATTTTTTTTAATTTGAAATTTTATTTCATATGGTTGACCTTGATTTAAATAAGATGTTGTTTCTTCATTTATTCTTGATGATGATGATGGTAATGCATTTAAGGTAAAAAAAAATTGTGAATTTTGTTGTTGAGATAATGGTGATGATGCAGGACTACTATCAGAACGATGATCATTATTATTAATTATATAAAAATCAAGATCTTCAACAATATTATTATTATTATTATTATTCGAATTTATATTTGTTGATGAATTATGAAAAATATTTTCAATATTGGATACAAATGGTTTTTGTGATGAAAATTTTGTTGTATGTTCATCCAATAAATGTTCATGACGATATTCAATCAGATTTAATGTTTGATCATTTAACATGATTAAATTCTTCGGATAGTTTTGAATTTATTTTTTTGAAACTCACCAAATAGAACAAAAGAGCTTACAGGACAACCAACACGATTTCTAATTGACATGCGCAAAATATGTCCTCTTATATTCGTTTGTATATCTTAATCTATGCTCTATATACGAATGTTCGCAAATTGGTCGGTAAGTGGGTGCGTTTTTTTTTCTGTTCTTTTCTATGTCGCATTTGTAGAACAGAAAAAAGAGAATGGAGGAGACTCATTAATGACGGAAAAAAAAAGAGAAGGAAAAGAATATGTAAAAAAAAGAAAGAAGAAGAAAAAAAAATAGAGCAAACAAAAAAAAAACAACGATTGCTTACGAAAATCGAGTCTATTATTTATATTTAAAGTTTATGAAAAGAATAAATAAATGTTATTATAATAAACTTTGAACTTACTCCTCTATAAAATGTTAATTTACTTCTCAAATTATGTGATGCTGTTTGAAATATTTTTAAAGTTTTTGGTTGACCACCCGTAGCAATTAAACATTTTTCAAATGTTATTTGCCAACCATTATCTAATCTTGCTACAGAATTTTTCAAATCAAGATCAATAACCTATTTGATTTACATTATAAACAAAAAGAAAATAAAATTTTTAAATATAAAAATGCTTACTTTTCTTCCACGAACAACTGCAACACCACCATTTTCTTCATCATTAAGTGTTTTAACATCTGTATAAAATTCTTCATTATTAAAATATAAACTAAAATAATCTAATATTTTTTGATAATCAAAAAAAATAAAATATATTGACATAAACCTTTTCTCTTCTCCATTCCATTGTTTAAATGAATGTTTTTCTATAAGTTCATCATCATTAGTATACCAAATATCTTTTGATAATGGAGGACGCATATATGGTAAATATTTTTCTGAACTAATAACAAGAACCTAATGAAATAAAATATAATAACAAAAAATGAATGTCATTCAATAAAAAATATTAAAACAAACTTTTGCTTTTGGATCATGTGTACGTATAGATTGAAATGCACTCATCGCTGTTGCACCACCACCAATAATTAAATATTGAGCAAAATTTGGAATATTTGGTGTTAAATCATTTTTATTCATTTCTATTATTTTATTTGGATCTTCTTCTTCAACTAGAATATTCACAAAACAAAAAAAACAAATAACCAAAAAAAAAACCATTGTTTTTTAATAATCAAACCAATTGATTCTCGTCCTTGTAAATCATGAACTTTTTCAACAAGTGTTTTATTTGAATCATCTTGAGATTGTCTATCTTTTTCATCAGATTCTGTAATGGCTTGGTTTTTTCCTTTTGAATTTTTTCGATTTCCAAACTAAGAAAATTCTTTATTTGTTCTTTTTTTTATAACAAAAAATAAAATCAAACTACATACAATTGAATAAATAGCAGCAACACCTGTTAAACCACCAACAATATAAATTAAATTTGTCATATTATTTTTTTTCTTTTCATTTTGATTTTGTTCATCATTTGATGAATTTGTTGATGCATAACGAAATATATATGATGAACGATGAGATGTTGTTGTTTGTAGAGAATCTTAAAAGAAAAGAATTTTTTTTTTTTGAAATTAAATTTATAGAAAAATTTTGTTTTTATACTAGATTGTATTAGTGTTCGAAAAATAGGTAATGTTCGTCGAATTGGATTAAAATTTTGTGTTGAAACTAAACGAGCTAAGTAATGAGTTTGCATTTTACAATAAATTACAAAAGGATTCGTAGAAGAAAACGTACTCTGAGACCTGATATTGGTATTGATGATTCATTTTAATGTCTGATTGGTTGATGATTAAACCGTTTAGAAAATAAACAAATGAACTTGATTATTTTTATTAAAAGACATCATTTTTTTTCTTATTAATTTATTGAAATTATTACATAAAATTTAATTTTACATTATTTTATAATATTCTCTATAAAATATAGTGAAACGTTAATTTATTTCTCCAATAAGAATGTAAAAAATGAAAAAGAAGATTTCTATGACTCATATATAAAGGGAATCTCTTGTGAGAATATCGCTTGATATAGGCTATTTACATATTTCGTATCCCGTCTACACATCAATTGACACATGTTACATATTTATTGCCTATGATGATATATTTAAACTACCAAATGATTGATTTGCTTGACTGAGTATTTGATGGACGTATGCATCTATTGTTAAAATAAGAAAAAAAAAAATCATGTGAGATTCAAAATAAGACGATTTATAATAAAACAAAAGTTCGAAATAAGAAAAATGTTATTCAGTTTTTCTTATTCGATCTGACTAAATGTCATTTTAATTTAGTAAGAAATTTCCGCATTTGTTTTTGTAATATTTCTATACAGTATATTTTTTTTATATAAAAATGAATAAATTATTATAAATATTTATAGATTTTTTTGTTTTATATATACAAATACATTACTACGTGTTTATACACACATATTAATTTTTTATTACTCTACTTATTGTTATGCCATGCATCTATATAATTGTACATGATTGAACAAACCACTGGCGACAATAGTATTTTCAAGCGAATTACGACGTACTTCGTCGTCGACAATGACAGATGTTGTTCCTGATATCAATACCGACGAACGTGTAGATGATGCTGAAACAAAACGTATTAAATTTGAACATCGACGAAATAATATAATAAAAGTATATATATATATATATATTCATTAAATATCATTTTTTTGTTTTTTGAAATACTTGATTTTATCTTTTAGTCTAGTGGTTTTGGTAAACCGAGTGTTTATCATGGACTTGTTGTTATATTTCTTGAATTTTTTGCTTGGGGTCTTCTTACTAATCCTATCATTTCAGTAAGATATAATTTTCTTTGTAGATTATTATTATTATTATTATTATTATTGTTTATGTAATATTTTTATTCTAGGTACTTAATCAAACTTTTCCATCTCATACATTTTTAATGAATGGTGTTATTCAGGGAATAAAGTAAGAAAAAAATCTTTAGATTTTTTTTTTGTTAATGTTTTTTTATTTATTTTAGAGGTTTATTAACATTTTTAAGTTCTCCATTACTTGGTGCCTATTCCGATATACGGGGACGCAAATTCTTTTTACTTCTTACAGTTTTCTTTACATGTTGTCCAATACCTTTAATGAAGATTAGTCCAATGTAAGTTAATAGAAATAAATATTGGATGTCATAAAAGTTGTCTGAA